CTTTTGATTATGATCTTTTTGTGTTCCATTTATAAATAAATAGTAATTTTCTTCAATACGAACTTTTCTTGCTTTATATCTATTTCATCCTTATATTGGAAGATTAAGCAAAATCGCAAGCAAATTTATCAATATATAAATATTTGAAATGTACTAATTGAGCCTTTCAATTCATTACACCGAATAGACGGAATGATTTAATAATATTTTTTTTATTTTCTACCTTTAGGCTCTCTAGAGGGCGCTGTTGCCAATTTAATGTAACATCACTAGTCTATAGCATGTGGACAACTAAGACGCTTGTAATGATACCTCATTTGTCCAGTTACGATGAGTAATTTCGAAGTTATGAACATTCTTACATACATACACATCGGTCAAAATCATAACCCTCCTTTTCGCTTCGCCGTAGTCAGGTAAAAACTAGCGAATTGACCGATTGACTTTATTCAAAGATGCCATAATAAATGAAGATATGATTATCATATAATTTCATGATATTTACATAATTACCTTTAATTATTTATATTTTGAATTTAAAAATATACAAAAAAAAAATATTCAAAAAATCATTAGGTGTAATACGACCTTAACGGTCTCCTGTCATCTTCATCACGTCTAACTTTCGATATCGATCGATTATGTGTTTCTTCTCGTCTTTGTCTTACGTTGAAAAGATTATACGCCCATCTCTTTCCAACCTCTAACAATATATCACAGAGCAAGTTAATTGTTTCAATGGGTATAACTTTCATCACAGTTATATTTTATTACCGTGTGAAACTAAATCATAATAGTTTTTTTTTTTATTATTAACAAAATAGTGATCGCTATTTTCAAATTTTTTTAATGGATTACGCAAACATTATGTGATATGTTCGAAACTTTTTGTGTGAAACTGGTTTGAGTGGTGTTAATTTCTAATTGCGAGGAAACTAGTTTGTTTATTGTTTCTTTCACTAAGTATGCAATACTTCTTAATGCTGCCACTGACTAGATAACGATAGCGGAAGATGGACAGCTAATGTCTTAGTCTGTGGACACTTGTCATACCAGACGCGATAAAGATTGTATGATCATGGTCTTATGCAAACTGCAACAATAAATTCTGCCTATGTTGTTATTCATTATCACCAGCCTAATAAAGATGGGATGAACGGCTTAACGTGCTTTCCGTAGTATTGAGGAGCTCAAAATAATATTTTTTTGGTGACCTTTCTTAAGACCAGCTCTTGCGGAACACGCTCACCGCTGCACCAATGTCCTTCTCTTTCAAGTTAACTTTTACTAAGAATTATCCGTATACGTTGTCATAAACACACTAATAAACTTTCGCATTTATAATATTAGTCGAATTATCTTTTACTTATCACAACAATATGACTATGATGATATATATTAACGGTCGGTGAATATCTAATGGAATATGAGTCGCATCGCATCTCGTTGGTCGTGAAACGTGAGAAATTAGAAATATATTAAACTAGGTGTTTTCTCGCTACTTCGATCGCATAAATTATAGCCTATGTCTCCAGCCCAATTTGTAGCTACTCGTAGGTGAAATAATTTTTAATATCAGTCCAGTAGTTCGGGCCTATTGGATACAAACAAAAAACAATCAAACCTTTCCTCTATAAAGTATTTGTATAGATAGTATTCAATTTGCTTACTCTAAGGATGACCTTTTATGTACTGATGCATATTTTTTTGAGACCATTAATGAATCCACCAGGTTTGGATTGCTTAAATTTACATTTAAAAACCTAACCTAACCAACAGAATTACTAACACCCGGTTTCTAAACTGAAAATTTAAAGTTGAGGACGTTTCTAAATGTAGTTAAACATCATTTAAATAGGCTTTTCGGTTTTGATTTTCGTTTCTTTTTAATTATCAGCTGATAGCACTTTGATTAAACTAATACTTTTTTCACGAGCCCTATCCATAAATGGAACAAATTTTAAACGGTTCAATCGCATTTGTATTTAGTTTTATTGACGTTTCGGACCCTTTACAGGTTCCGTGTTCACGTAAGGCTAAAGTGTCGACTGTCTTTTTAATTAAAAGTATACCTTCCAAAAAAAAAAAAAAACAACATGATGAAACCGTTTAAAAGTAATTTTTTTTTTGGACTACGTGTTAGTTGGACTTTATGACTTGCGAATCCGAAAAAACTAATTTAATGAGAAAAATTGAGATTTTGTACTTTTCTCAATTCAAAAACTGGCTGTCAGTGCCATTTTTAATATTCGCTTTTTTCTGGTTTGCTGTCAGGTCGTTAAATGTTCTGTTCTTTTTAGACATTATCTGAGAAAACAAAACAGTATAAAATAATTTGACAGCAATCCCAACCTCGTAAATAATGTTAGCATCATGTTTCCTACTTTAATTTCTTATCGATTTCCCCTAAACACCAAATGGTGTAAAAATAAACGAAACAAATGGAATGCTTAACCCATTGTGGTTAACTAAAGAGGTTACAATTTTTCAAACTACTTTTTAATTTAGATAAAGTAAGGTATTCCCGAAACTGAAATAAACAAATCATCAAATACATTAGTAGCATTGTTAAACTTTCATATCCATATTCATTTATAAAACAGATTTAAAAGCATCAAAATAGAACAGTTACTCCATTTCATTGGCGTTCATGAATATCGACCTGTGATATTTTACCTTAACGCTAATTAATTTGATTAAAGAAAATTCTTGTCTTTATATTTGATCCGACTCCAGAGAGATATTTTGAATATAGGTACTGAATATAGGTTTTTTAAATAGGTATAGGTACCTTTCAATGACCCAACTAGGTCTGCCTACTAGGTCAGATATCCCTATCACTTTTGACTTAGTCAACAACACTATTTGCATTATTTCATAATTTAAATTAGCATTAAAAATGCAAATACTTTTTCTAATAAGAAATCAATACTTACTAGTAATACTGCGAATTTGCATGTTAAACTTATTTCTAAGTTTCATCACTCATAGCTTGAAAATTATTTTTAATCTGGTCTCGTAGGAAATTTTTATTTGCAGTTCATTGCTTAGAATACTTAGAATTGGCGTTTTTAAGAACGGTAAAAGTTAAATGACCAATGTAATTGAATTTATGTCAAAATTAAATAAAAAAAAAACCTGAAACTATGTTTGCTATATTTAAAGTCAATTGTCAAAAAAAAAACACATTCCAAGCCGCTGGACGCAAGCTATATTTGTATAGAAAATATCTATACGATCACAATTCTATTGAAGTATTCAAAGAATAATTTTCTGAATGCAATTTTAGAATGTATTAAGTTATTAAACGACTCCGAATAATAAATAAACTAAATTTCCCTTTCCGGTTGCTTTCCTGTACAAGAAATTTATGCAGATTTCTTTTAAGATTACACGGTTTGTGTTCCGTATCAACATCCGATATGTGAGTGGAGGTGTTAGAATTGGGGCCCCTGGGTGAGAGAAATACCTATTGGTGTTCTAAATGTAATGTTTAATTTTTGATATTTATGTTTTTCACACACTACAATATAATATATAGAATATTACTCCTTTAAAGGAATACTTTTACTTCATAAAGTAATACTTTTACTTCATAATTATGAGTTACTTGTTGTTAAGCTAACAAGAGGAATTTAAACAAAACTAACTTCATAAAATGAAAAATAATTAATATTTTACAGTCTGTTGTTATAACATCTAGCAACTTCTGTTAAAGTCGGGCGGGGGAAAAAAATGTGTTTTATTTAATTAAAAGCTGATACATTTATTTTGATAATTCATTTTGATTTTGCTTGAAAAATTATTTGAGAATGGTTTTTAAAGCTAATCTAACACTGCTAAAACTTTTTTTTGTCATTGATGTTTCAGTTAACATAAAATCGTAGTATAAGTCGTTTTTTTGTCTACGGACAATGATTTTTATGAAAATATTTTAATCTGTGGTCCTGGATTCATCTGCAGTCATTGATATCCACCGGTAAGTGATGGACCAGCGTGTCAGGTAATTTCCGGTCTTCCGGTCAGCAGAGACTTTAACAGGCTGATGATGAAGAGAGTACAGTAATCTATCAAAAATACTATATCTTAATTACTACCCATATTATTAGTTTATATACAGTTTTCAACGGCATTTACCATGACTAAAAAAATAAATGCTGTTAAAAAATGCAGATTACCATGACATCGCTAAAAATATGTTATGATAAAGAAAATCATATGTTAATTATTTACTATTATTATTTTATCTTTCTAAATAAATATAAAACAGAATAACATAATAAGGCAACCCTTAAATAAATTTCCATTATAATGCGCTATTAATTGCTTTGAATAAAGAAAGTTATTTTGTATTGACAGAATTCACTGCGAATGGTATGTAGGTGGTAAAACAGTATTTAATCAAATAATAAAAAATCACATAGGTATTATTTTTAACGAGTGTATACTATAATTAATTAGATTTATAATTCCATTTTTACTCATATTGTATATGTATACGTACGTAGTACTTATATAAAAATATATACGAATCTCGAATCCGGTGCGGAAGTCGAGATCGAACCCTTTCTTTTGAAACCAGTCCGTCAACTATCAGAATTTCATAATATTGAATTTCAAAGAGTAATAGCAATTTATGTGAACCTGAAAGAAAGTTGAATTACTATTATTAAGTTGAGAACCGGTTCAATTAAAATCATTAGAATGTATTATAAATAACTATTGATTTCTATTAATAGATACATGATTAATAAACTTAAAAAAAATATTTTCAAAATAATTTTACAATGTTTTCAAAATTTTTAAAGTTCACGTTCAACCCGGTAAAATTTAATTTTTTTTTTATAAATAACCCGCAATACGTGACCCTGAGGCATACCTTCTGATGGATGTCATCAAATATTTGTCTCGAAACGTACCTATTTGCATAAACATTAGGGTCCAAACTGAATCAAATTTCATCTTAACCTAGATGAGAGCTCGTGTGAGCATAACATAGAATGGAAGTGGGGAGGGGAAATGATAAAACTGTATGGCGAGACCGCCAGTTCGCCAAACATTGCTTGACATCTCTCGATGTCAGAAAATTAAAGATACGGGCCAGTAAAAAGTTTGATAAAAAAAAGAAAATGAAATTCGCCGCCGCCCTCGTGCTGGCCCTTGTGGCGTTCGCTGCTGCCGAAGATAGTGATAATACGGTGGAAACTGCAATCAATTTCATCAAGGACTGCAAAGGAGATTACATATTATGTGTCAAGGTTCATAATTTTATTATTAGTAAAGTGAAAGTGAAATTTGTGAATGGGACCTGTTTACAGTGCATACAGTGATGGTATTGAGTTACTGGGAACTTTTTTTTGATAATATTACAAGTTTTACCTGTATAACTGCATAGTTAAATTGTCTGCATTTTTTCTTACAACTAAGCTGTCGCTTGGTAATTCTAAAATACTATATCTGAACTTCCTACAATTGACTAAATTTTTCATTTTTAAAGTTTGAAAGATTTTTTTAATTTGTATTATTAATATGAAAATATTTTGCAGGAAAAAATGCTAAGAATTGTTGACAACTTGAGGGCATCTAGGAGCATCAACATTGCTGAGGGCATCGTCTTGAAGGGTGATCCTGATAAGAGAGCCAAGAAACTTGACGCTCTTCCTGTGGACCCTACTGCCAGAGATGCGGAAGTTAACTACAGGTTGATGGATGGAGTTGTTAGCCTGTTTGAGACCCATGCTGTTGAGGTCAAGATGAATCAGTCAGATAAGGAGACCCTGCAGAGGTCTCTCGATGAAGGTAAATAACAAACTTCATTTTGGCATGTTTTATCTGTAATTTCAAATATTTTGTGACTATTTTTTATGAATATTTTTAATATACAATTAGCTAGAGTTGTGTCAAGAATTGCTCAGTTTGAAAATCTTATTGTCTCAATAAAAATAATATTTCAGCAAACCTACATTCATTAAATTCAATTGACAGTACAGTTGTTAGTCATGTAGTGAAAGACACATGCCCATTTATTTCATAAATATATTCTGAGCATCATTGTATAAGCATTATTTGATTCAGACATTAAATGCTAGTTGGCAGAATTCTAAAGTTTCCTAAATTGACAGGCCGTGGCAAGGGAGGCGGCGGCGGCGGCAAGAAGGGCGGCGGTATGGGTGGCATCATCGGTCTCCTTGGAGCCAAGATCCTCCTTGGCAAACTCTTCATCGTAAAGCTCATCGCTCTCAAAGCCTTAGCCACTGCCAAGATTGCTCTTGTCCTCGCAGTCATCTTATTCGTCGCCTGGTGCATGAAACATGAGCACACCAAGACCACCTATGAGGTTGTTCCTCACGCTCACCACCATGAGTCTCATCACCCTGTACACGTAGAACATGTCTCCCACGACTCTGGTCATGGTCATGGCGGTGGTTACTCTAGCTATGGATCCGACTGGAACAAGAACCTCGACGAAGCGCAAAACCTAGCGTACAGTGCTTACTCGCACAATAAGTAGATAGAAAAATACCAAAATGTGGCATTCTTATGCCTCAAGTAATGTTTAACCTCTTTTGTACAAAGACTTAATTATTTATTTTATTTATTTCTAATTTATTGCCATTAATTTTATAAATATTAATAAATTATTCAACTGTTACAATTGTGTATGTTTTTGTTATTCACTTGAAGTAATATGTAAACTTCTCATAAAAAACTAAATCAAATTTCATAAAACTGCACTGAAAGCATAGCAGCATACTATGTAAACATAAAATTATAAATAAATTACGTTTTCCTAAAAATAACGAATATCTGTTGCATACAACTGATATCATAAAACTTTAAAGTTATAATAAAAACAGCATTGACTAAACAATTCAGACAAACATTTTTAAGGCAACTTTCTTCCGTACGACTTTGAGGCGCCAAAACCTCGATCATTGCAGTAAATTATATTTATATTTAGTTATAAGCATAATTTTACCGGTTCCGGCGACAATTTCTCTTCGATGTCCATCCGTCTCTATTAAAAAGGTCTTTAGGCCGGGTACCACTCTCTCTAATATGTATATTAATATGTTCCACATTTTTATAATCAGCATACGATTATTAGGCGTCACTGGAGAGATTTCCGAACACATGCCGGGCCGGCTAACGAAGTCACTTGTTTATGAAACAGGTAAAGACAAAAACAGGTTTAAAGTAGTTATTCATTAAAGGCTCAACTTTCTATAGATTATATTTCTCGAGATTTCGACCAATTTCATCTTCATCGAAAGTGAATCGGTACCTCTTAATGGTACTGCGGTTGCGAGATCGTAATTAAGTTAACGTTACCTTCGTGGGAGGTGGTGTGAGTAGAAATTTGTTGATTATGAACTTTTACGTTTGACTGTCAAATTTCTTTATATATACTTAACAAAAATCGATACAGAGTACATAACAAGAAACAAAATACACCAATCGGCATTGTTGTAACTGAATTAGACTTTACTGTTCATTGTTTATCAATAACAAAGAAGACTTTTAATGATACTTTTAACAAGAGTAATGGATATATAAATCAGATTACTAAACACTTATTACGTTTAAAAAGTAATAAATTGGGCATATACTGATTAACGAGTAGATAATTATAATATACGTACCATTTGAATGGATCGGATGATAATATCAGGATATTAGCTTTCGCTAGAGTAAAAACAAAGAGAAAACATGTACTCTCGAAGTGCTGACCACTTTAAAATTACTGCGATTGCTTTGCGTTCTTTGCTAACATAGAAAAGAGAGAAAATATATTGAAAGTAAAATTATCCTCATAAAATATAGTTACAGGTGATTATGTTATTAAATAGTTAGAATAAATAAACGAATTAAGAATTTGTATCGATCCTCATTGTGGAATATATAACTGGATACACAAAATCTATTGTACACTTTAAAATAGATATTCATAATGTCCCATTACTTATAAACAGAGAACACATTTAAGCATTTCAAGTCAAAGATTCTAATCAAATAATAGGTTTATCTACAATTTGGTTTATAAACCTTTTGTAACCAAATCTAAGATCAAACAATAAAGCAATCTGGAAATCACGATAACAATCTGATAAATCAATAATTTATTTAAGAAGCGCTGATTGAAAATAAAGAAAGAGCCACATCAGATCTCACATCGATAGCTAAATAACCATCAAATAAGCTACCAAAAAGAAGAAATAGTTGCAGAGAAAAAAAAACTTACGCTATTAAATTTGAAATAGATATAGAAATTGACAACCGAATTATGGTATAAAGACTTTTGATTTAACACCGCTTTATATTAGATACGTTCAAAATAAAATGTTGAGTGCACGTAATGACCCATGATGATAGAGTAAAAGATGAATCAGTGAAGATTGCTGGCCATAGTTATGACGTGAAATTGCCCTTGAACGAATTATAGAGACAAGTAATCTTGACTTTAAGTGTGTTTTGAACACTGCGTAAAGATAGAGACATTTGACAAAGAAATTGTTTTGAAAATGATATAGCTGTTATTAATAATATAATAAATGATAAGTACAGAATATAATAATGTGTTGTTTATAGTGTGTAGGCTCTTTTAAATTTGTTCATTAATCATTATATTTTTTACTGTTAATGTTATTTTTTTGGAATTTTCGTGTCTTGTTCAATAAAAAATACATTCATTCATTCAAATTATATTTATTAAAAGAAAATTCAGTTGGATCCTAATATTAGATCTAAAACTACTTAGTCGTTATGGATGAAGCAGTAGATATACTTTTAAGTATGTAACAAAATTATCAAAAAATATCGAATATTGTTTGTTTATTTATTTAATGACCTTCAAAACATTCAGCAACTTTAATTAAATGCAAAATTATTACTCGTACAAATAAACATGACAATTGGAACCTATTATATTTGTCCTAGAACAATTTGGGTATCAGAGGCAATATCAATCAGATCCTACCTCCGTTGCTACATCATACACTATCTAAAATGTGTTTCTTTAGTCGTATTAGCATTTCGAAAATAACCGAAATTTCATTTTCTACTTTCCCACAAAAAAAGTCCTTCGGGTGTCATGTTATTTCGAAACAGTAGTAAAAATATTCAACCTCAGAGACTTAATAATGCTATTGAAGCTTACAAAGGAATTTTATAACTCATAGTTTGAAAAGTGTCTTAGAAACTTTATGGATTGACCTTTTTCCTGTTATTTGACCTTTTAGATTTGCCTTGGAGCGAAAGGTTGTGTGAGATGCACGATTTTCGCTGAACATACGGTTTCTATTTTGTCATATTAATGTGTGTTATTAACGAGACGGTTAAGAACTTTAATTGATTTCAATAACAGAATTAAAAGATCTCCTTAGTTAATGTGAAAATATCATAGGCCTGATGTTTTCAATCACTACTAATATATGGTTATTGGTGTTGAAATTTCTTTTTTTCTTTCACTATTCGTTTACAATTACGTTCTCGGCTTATAACCTATTATTATTATTAACTTATAACTATAACTTTAGACTTTAATAACAAAAAAGCATATAAAAGGTTGAGTCACTTTTTGATTTAGAAACCAAAGTATTAAACCAAATTTATATTACAGGAATATGAAGTTGACAATGTTACGTATATAAATTTCGATTTAAACACTGACGCGATCTATTAATGAATTAAATATTGTCAACTTGAAGTTCTACCTTCAGTGGTTTGTATATCCATTTCATAAAATTGTCATACTTAGTCATCATATTAGACAGTAATGAACAGATAAGAAAAGGTTTGATCTGATTGATAGTGTCAGTATAACAGTTAGTAGAGGCGTTCTCCTTTGGTTCAGATATAGATAGAATGTCAGATGAAAGAATTACGAAATTGATATACAACGTGAAAGTGGGAACATGTAGAAGCCGGAGGAATGCCAAGTTTTATTCAGATTGTAAGATGTGATGTAAGAGTTTATAAAAATCGGTGTGTTTGTGTAAAAAAATTAATTAACATCGAGGAAGCGAAAAACATGACTGCCTAAAAGCCGAGACTTTTAAGATTAGGTCCCATTTGTCCATTGGCGATATATATAAAAATATTGTAAAAACTTGGAAGCTCAGGTCAGTTCACATCAATTACATGATGTATTTATCTATAAACTTGAGATTATTAAAACAATATAGTAGAATTGAGTTACTATGTTCATTTTTCATTAAATTCATAACCATAAGCGACATGCATAACTTTAGATGTAATATAATTTTAACCACTAAGTTTCTGAGGTTTTAGTGGCGCATCACGCGCGCATATTTAACCTTCGTCGGGTGAATTTAACTAGCGGGTTTTTCAAACTTAGAACCAATCAAAACTGACAGTTTCAAAAATTGCGTTCAATTCGTCTATGTGATATATTTGAATCTATATTGCAATATTTAGGGAAAGGTTGAATGACAAATCATATATTTTCCAGTTCTCAGTGTCTAAAGAAAATTCAGAAAATTTCGAATCCTTCTTATCTTTGTTATACTGCTGGACACAGGTCTTTCCGAATAGTTAGTGAGTAACTACAGACGATGCAGTAAGAACCAACAGCTTCACGTGCCTTGCGAAGCACGGAGCAGCTAGAGATAATATTTTTAGTCACCCATCCTGTGATCGGCCTTTGTGAATGTTGCTTAACAACCGTATAGCAGATCGAATACGTTAACCACTGCGACATCAAAGTCCTTCCGAATTCTTCTTATCATTATATCCGTGAACACTACCTGTTCAACAGAGGTAGTGTCAAGTCCTGTTTCATCAGAAATTATTGATGGAGTCCTACTTTGATTATACTTATATACTTGGGTGTTATACTTTGTCTATAAACTTGTCTAGATATAGTGTCAGAGCGCCTAAACGCCAAAAAATAAAAGAGGTTATTGCTGCCTCATAAACGAAACGCTCGCTCTGTGTCAAAACTGTAAGTTTATAATCACAGGAGTCGAAAAAAACAAAGTACGCTTTCTGATCTTCCGTAACGTGAAGCATTTTTCGTCAGATATGTACCGGTCATAAATATTGCAAAACTTTGTCTTAAACTAACATCATTATTAATTTGTTTAATTCTTGTCAGCTGTAATAACTTATATTCATTCAATTTTCATTCAACTCTTAATATTAATCATATTTATGCATATTCATATAAATAAACGTTTTCTATTCTTAGATATAAACCTTCATAATTTATTCTATCTCATTATACAGTATGCTTAAGTAAAGAAAACTTTCCTCTAAAAAGTAAAATCTGTAGATTGTGAATCTCCTCCTCTTTGGAAATATTACGGTGAATCTTAAATTAAAAATAGGTATAGTGATGCCGTTTTGAAATGACGAATTGCATTATTAGATTTCTTTTTATTTAACTTAAAATATAAAGGTAAGGTAAGATAAGAATTAAATAATTACAATGCCGGTTTTATTTAGAAATAGGGAAAGATAAATTGCATGCATGCATTATCGTACTATAGTAAAAAAAAAAAAAATATGTTAAAACTAAATTGAAGTATCTCTTGAGTTCTGTTCTTTTTGATCCTAAGACCGCGTATATACAATTCTAGCACGTTACTATATAAATTATCATGCCCACTTTCCATACATTAATTGACCTGCCACATATTTTCATTAAAGCTCGTGTCTGCCATCATTTGTAATAATTGAAATTAGTTTTTGCTTAAAACAGAATAATATAATATATATATATAAG